AAGTATTTCTTTCTTTTCTGTTAAACCTGTCTACTGCCTTCACTGGCTCAATACCATAACTCGTACTGGCAAGGGTGACAACATTATTGTCCATCCATCTAACATACACTATTCCAGTTTCCCTGTCTAAAATGTATGAAAAGTCTCCTCTTCTTTATTTTTCAACCTCCTTTTTTGAAAGAAGAGGGCAGTCCTTTGGCAAGCGGTTTTCCCTTATAGTGCCTGTTCCACTATAACCATTAGCTTTTAGAGTACATAATAAATTTGGATTTGTAAACAAGTTATCGAAAAAAAAATTGTACGGAAAATTTCCTTTTTTCCTTTAGTTCCTCAATCATTTGCATTAGAGGAGCCGTTGGTTTTCCAAAAATTGATTCATAATTAGAATTTTATCTGGGATTTTTTCCTTGGTATACTTCAAAATTCACCAAGTAACCATTCGGAGTATTCAACGACCAAACCTTGTATCCAAATCTTACTGGTTTGCCACGGATGAATTATTTACATTCATGTCGACCAAAATACCGAATTATCGATTCTTCGTAGGAAAGATTTGGTTCAGGCATAAAGTGTTTAAGAAAACTTGATTTTAAGTGGTCTGTAATTAGCCGAAGCTTGTACATTTTATCAGAAGTGTCTACATTATCAGTAAAATGAATAAATCTGCAGATTTGCAAGAATCTATCACTGCGCATGTCTTCTGATATCATAATATTTTTCATATCATCTGAGATTTCCCAATAACTTCTTTTCGATGGCAAAACATTGATTCCACTGAGGATCAGAATACCAATAAAAACTTTTAATTCTTCTATGGTCAGATTAGGATTAGGACAATTTTGAAATAAAGCATAGAGTTTACCGTTTCATGTAAAATTATTTGAAGCAAATCGTCGGAGAAAAAACATTCAAATATCTCTGAACAGCTCAACGATTGTGATTGTGTATAAAGTTGTGCTTAGAACAGAACATTGTGGTACTCTATTATGTTGAATACAAGTAGATGACAGCTTTTCGTTTAAAATAACTTAAAAAGTTCTATCATCTAAAAAATTCTGTACAAAGTAGTATATGGTTCCACCAAGTCCACATTATGATTCTACCATACCGATTATACCTACTGGTTACTGTGTAGTTAGAATGAGTTACACTCATTCTAACAAGTCCACATTGTTGAAGATTTTTGAGTATTACAGATTTTTGAACCTGTCAAAGGCTCGTTCGACATCAAAATAATAAATCTTGTTTAAAGACTATAGAGTCGGTCGGATGATGAGATCTAAAGCCGGATTGTGCCGGTGAAATAACTCCATTTTTTTCAAAAACCAGAATCTTTTGTTTACCATTTTCTCCATTAATTTGCACATGGTGCACGTCAGCGATATTGGCCTATATGAATTAGATAAACTTTGTTTGGTTATGCTTTTTTAATTGGTATAATGTATGATTCTCGCCACCGCTTAGGAAAATTATAACTGTTCCAAATACCGTTGTAAAATTTTAATAAAATAATAATCCAAGGAATCTATAATTTATTTAGGATCATAAAAGGAATGCCATCTGGACCAGAGGCTGTGTTTTTACACAAATCGAGTGCCGTCAATAGTTCCTTTAAAGTACACGGTGTGTTAATGAGATCGATTTCTTGTGCAGTTTTTATTGAGGAGAACCTTCCAGTTAATGTGCCTGATGGTATATTAGGAGAGTATTGTCTTTTGGATTTTTGTTCAATTCTGGCCTAGTAAATTGGGAATTTGTTGTGTGTCATTTATACCGTTGTTTTGATAACTTATACTTTGAATACCGAAACTTGTCTTACGGCCCTGCATTTGTCATATTTTCGTCTATACTTTAGAAGGGTGTTGGATTTTAGTGATTTATAATTATTTCCTAAAATTTATACGCTTTGCATAATCTATTCTGTTCTAAATAATAAAAGTAAAAGTAACTAAATCCAGTGATAATACTATTTTCGTGTTTAAACCTTTTAAGCGTATTAAATAAAGACTAGTTATATTACATCCTCTGATTTTGTGTAGTTGTAGATAAGAAAGAGGCGATTAAAAACCAATGCCCTAGAAAAATTATCGTTAATGTGTTTTTAAACAAGTTTAGAATTTAATATTAATCTAGAATGTTGACCCGAAGTGTCATTTCAAAACACTCAGGTAGACGGTCATTGTTTGATTAAAGAGAAAAAATCGCAGTCATTCCTCGAACTTTTTGAAATCAAGGGTCAACGTTTTGTAAATCACCCGACATTTCATGTGTGATTTGTCAACGGACGATCTTAACTTCGTCATTTTTGGTGTAAATGGTCTTAATAGGTTAACCGGTTAAAGATAAGATATTACTTTTGCATAATGTTTAGAGTGGGAACTTTTCGTCTTTATTGATTCTGGATTTTCTTCGTTCTTTTCGCCGGATTCAGATTTTTACATTGTCTGATCATTGTTGTCCTGATCTTTTTGTTGATCTCTTTTCAGCTGGTATATTGCTGATTCATATATTGCTGTTTTTACCTCTCTATTTTCAATCATTGAGTTGATGTCATGGTTTCTTTCGGATATTCTGTTCTTGGAGTTAGGTTCGTATCAGCTAACTAACCTCAGCTTTATACACCTTTTCCTTCCGTTGAAAAGAACTGCTTTTTTAACATTCTTTATATGTAATTAAAGGTTTTTGGTTAATATTCTTGTTATTAACTGATTTATAATTAATAGGTTTATTTATTTATTTATAGGGCTTTACAAGGTTAGGCGCATTCTCTCCATTTTCCTGAACTTTTGTGTTCCCATGTGTGTTTTGTGTATGTCCAGCCGGCCAACTTCCACACAGGCTATATAGATAGGGACCAAGGCTGGGCTAAGAGAGTGGTTAATCCCGTTGTTTCTAGAACTTTTATTTAGTTGGGAAAAGCCAATTGTGTTGGTATTTTTAAAAACATTTATGGAAAATTTCACGTCATTATGCTGTAATACTTAAAGTTAACCAAACATATTAATATCTGGGTTTACCTACAGTAAAAATATATTTATGTCTTGGAGACTCATATTTCTCTTCAGTCTTGAACCCCCGGAGGGAGTGTAGTGATCATCGTGATGTTGTATATTGTCTGTTTCCAAAGATCTCTGTCTTTGTGGTTATTTTTTTTAACTCATGCATAGGTCTTAATTTTGCATATTCCTATAATTTCGTCGATCCATCTTGTTGAGGATTTTCCTCGTGATCTTCTACCTTTTACATTTTTCCTTGAGTCTTTTTATGATTTCTGTGTCTGCTCTCACAACATGTCCAAAGTATTTTAATTGTTGGAGATGGACTTTACTGCAGAGCCATTTGCTGACCTTTGGTTCATTTAAACTTCAATTATTTGTCCTGTGATTTGACTTTAGATCATGTACACGAAAGGTTAGATGCTTTTATTTTATTAATTTATTCTTATGTTATCAGCAGAATTAATTAAATTATAAATTAAATTAATTATAAATATAACTATTTAGCTCAAATCTATTAGTACCTTTTGCAGTGATGTTAAGAAACTCATAATAATATTGAAAGTAAAACCTATAGCGAGAATTTATAGTTAAATATAATGCTAAAGAAGTACAAAGACACTGCTATAAAGGACCAATTTGTTATAGTTTCACTAAATGTGATATCGATGAATTCAATACCCATTATATATCCAATATTATTTTTTAATAGACTTTCATTCTTATTCAATTTCATACAATTTAAATACAATAAGCTCAGTAAATAGTCACGTGAATAGTTGCATGTTCATACTAACTAGTATTCTATTTTATGTAAGCGGCAAGTACGTGCAATAGTGTTTTGTTTGAATGCGTTAGGTAATATTTTTTATTCGATATGACATATACGTAGAATGGGTGAAACTTGTGTGTGTGTGTAGTGAAAACAAATCAAGGGTTGGAGAGATGGTTGTCATGTAAGTGATTGCCATAAAGTATATAAAAAGTAATGTGACGTCTTTTTTACTATTCACTTGTATTAGAGGTTTCTTTAAATAGCAGTATATACGAATTAATACCTACAACAGTCCTCTAAGACACACTCATAGTTTGATTGATTTCCTTTGTCCATTTTTTTTCCATTTATCACATTTTCCAGTCGTTAATACCTATTTTTCAATCCTATAACTGCGTGTATCCATTTTTTTGTATCATCGTTACTATATACATTATTCTTAGACACAAAAACATTTAACGATCCTAAATTTCTTTCAAAAGAAATTCAAAAGAAATTGATCCATCGGATCTAACGAAGTCTCATTCGATTTATTTAAAAGAGCTACAATATAAAGCATTTTTCATAAAAAAATAATTTCTACAAAGGTTTAAAAAATTTAGAATGGCTAAAAATCCCCTTTTTGGTACTTTCAATAGTTAATTTTGCATAAATCATTGGGTTTTACACAAACAATGTAGTGTCGTATCAGTGGACATATAGTTATCAATTGCATTGCGCTTTGTTAAATTTTGATACCTATTTGTTTCTTGTTATAATGTTAATATTAATACAAAAAGTCAGCAATGTTTCCCACATTATTATCTATTTTATGCCAAATTTTCGTTTTGACTGATAAAGAAGAAAGCTAACGTCCACTATGTTTTTAATTTTTTCTATATTAATATAAATAAATACGTTTTATCATGATTAGGCTTGCGCTAGTGGCCTATAATGCAATTTTTTATAGCTTTTTGTTGTTTTTAAAGTATCAGGTTCAGATTTTTTGGTATTTTGACACGAATTAGATCGACTTGATTCATTATCATCTTTCAGAATCTTCGACATGATTGTTGGGTGTCTTTATTTTCTAGTATTCTTATTTAATTTTAATGACAATGAATAATCTGTAATACTTATAAAATATATAGCTTCAAATAGTGAAATAGATTCGTTTAACGTAGCTCATTTAGAACATTAATTAATAATTAATACTGGCATAGTATAATAAAAATCTCCTTTTATTTCAGATCCCGTAAAAGAAGACCAAGCGGGAGCCAAGATGATTGTCCCAAAGACAGTCAAATGGATGAATGCAGCGCTGCTCTAGTATTGATGAGCCTCTCATGCTCGCCCCACTCGCCTAATCTTACTGGTAAGTTTTTTCGTATATTTTGGGTTATCATTAAAGCCATTTATCACCAACCCACCAACTTACCACAGAAAACCAATTCCACAAACGTGTGGAACCTTCTATATAAGATATTAAGTTACGTTTAATTTAACATTAAATCTCAAATTATTTTCCTTTTTGTTGTGTCATTAAAGTCCTATATCGGTTCATCTAGGCCTAGATGTTGGACTGATTGCTGCCGAAATGAGAAAGAATAAGTTAAAATGGTTAATACAAGTTCAAAGTCACAAATCCCAAATATTCCCTCGTATACCACTGTTAATCATTGACAGTTCTAAGCTTCTTATTTCTAAACATTAAGTATGAATTCTCCTTACAAGTGATTGATTCTTTGGTAACCTCAAAGGTTACCAACCTACTTCACCCTGCTTCACCTGTGCACCTGCAACTCAACAATTGCTTTTTTAAACTTGTTTACTATTATTGAAATTTATCGAAAATTATTGTTTTAAAAATCGGAAAAAAATGTCTGGATCTAGTGGTCATTGAAACGGCGGCTGAAGTAAGGTACGGCATTGAAATAAGCATAATATGAAAAGAAAATTCAAAGGTAATCAGCTTCCTGTAGAAAACAATTTTGAATTACTCAGTTCCTCGGCAAAATTCAATAAAAAATTGGAATAAAAATTATGGAAATAGTAACGAGTTGGTCGGAGAATATCGAGCTCGTATTGTTCAAGCCAATAGAGCAGCGCGGCATCAAAAGATAGCAAAGTTATGAAAAAAGAGCTTTGACCGACCATTTACAGCTTTAATTGGACAGGGAGGACACCCAGTGTGCACCAGGAATCGTTGATTAGAGGTAAAAAAATAAATATGGCTAGTTTGTTCCCTGTTTAGAGCAGCAATTTCGAAAATAAAAATAGCCATTATGATTGCCAACCTCCGTAGGGGGACGGCACGAAGAAGTTTGTTCCAGAAAATTTCAGTAAAAATATTTTAAACACGTTTTTTTTTGAAATCACATTTTTCAAAACTAGGGGATTTTTTCTCAGAATCTACTATACCAATCTCAGTAAACCAACTTTTTTTTTGATACCTTATATATACGACTACTAAATAAACCTCTAAAAAGTTTAAAAAACCTCCCCACCTTTTTAATACAGGGGTGTATTCATTCCCAAAACAGGCGTTTTTTCGAACTTTTTATAAAATCACATATAAAGGCCTTAACAATATAAAAAAAATTAACATTCTAAAGGTTCTTAAACGTTTATTTAGTAGTTTTATGTTTTATCTCGTTGGAATTTAAAAAAAATATTGTTACGAGAAGGGGGGCAGAACAGTGTCATCCAAATAAAATGCAGCTTTTGGAAAACGCTCTCTGCAGTGGTGAAAAACAACTAAATAAAAGTGTAAAATTTTTTTAAGCCACAAATTCTTCTGAAGAATGAATAGAAAAAATTATAACCATAAATTTAATAGTTTTTTTTTTGTTTATTATTTCAAAAATTGTCTTTTTTTCAATTTAGTAAGTAAAAATCCGCTTAAAAATTTCTATAGGAATTAATTTCCATAATCATATAGAATAGAATCAAATTATTCTATATAATTTAAATATTGATTATTGATTATATTAAATACTATATTGTATATTAATGACCCCGTATATTTTATCAACACAATACCGCACATTATACGAAAAAAGACATCTAGCACCATAACAACAGAGCCATTGAAGGACAACGCTATCGTAGAGAGTTGCGTCAGTCTATTGTGAAAGTGACCCTCATCTTTTCACGATGAGGAAACTGTTAACAAAACCCATAAAAAACAATAAGGTAATAAGCATTTCAAGTTACCCATATCTCGAGTGAAAAACAGACTTTTTCTTTGGACGTTCATTGTTAGAGATCGAATTAAGGTCTCTGTTGATTGCTATCACCAAAACGAAAGTGAAAAAGGCTGAGAACCTAGACACACTTCGCAGTTCTAGTTTCCTTCAAGTGCAAACTTGCGTCATTGAAGACGTATTACATAGAAAATGTATACAATTATAATTTTGTGGACGTTATGTCGGTGAGATACTTTATACCTGCTGAATTTTTTTTGTTAGTATTGTCGTGGGCCATTTATTTTCTAATTTTAATTATTGTTTCGTTCTTATATAAGTATTTCCGAATATCTAAGTTCATATTCCATGTTAAACGACAAAATATTGAGTAATAAAACAAAAACTTATGATTTGTTTAGAATCTAAAGGAATCTTCAGTTTACCGAGAGAATATGCGCTTCGGTCAAAACAAATTTAAATTAAAATGGAGCTGTCTCCAATTTAAACATAATTTATAGTGAAACCCAAAGTAAAAAATTATTTAAATAAAGTATTTTCGCACCGCTGGAAAATTTGTGAGAGTCATCATTTCATAGCCCATAGCCTCTACCGAATAGATTATCATGTTTTAGCTCAAATTAAATCCATTGTTTACTTAAAGCCAATAAGTAACCAAGAAGCGATACATTAAAGTTTTACACAAATTTTTGATTTAAAAAAATTCTTAATAATTTTTCTCACCTAAAGTAGATAGAGTCACCAACGATTCTTGAAGTTAAAGAGGCAGTCTAACCTCCAGAAACTAACTAACTAGAAATAAAGTCACTCTACTATGGCACCGTATGGCACCATATGCAGAAAGGATAGCAAAAAAATACCAGAGTGGTTTCAGAGGTGGTAAATCGACAATTCATCCTTGAGATAAATTTAAAAAAACATTGGAGTATGGAAAACTCGGTAGATTATGTACTACAGGGTAGCCTAAGACTCTGTAAATAGAAGAGAAATGTTCAGAGCAATGAGAGAGCTACGAGTACCACATCAGTTGGTAAATTTAGCAAAACTAACTCTTGAAAAAGTTGAATATAGAGTACAAATCCAAGGGGAACTATCTGAACTTTTTTAAACCAAATGACGGATTGCGCAGGGAGGTCCTGGCGCAATCCATTAGTAATACCTAGGTCGCAAATCACAACCACCGGTTCAATCTATAACAAATCCGTGCAAATCCTTGCCTATGCTAATGAACTAATATTGTTGGGAGAACGGAAAACGCTGTATGAGAGGAGTAGGTGGCACTAAAAGAATCAGCTACAAAATTGGTTTAAAGTGCTCGTCAACACTAAAAATAACAGTACCGCAGAGATAAACCGCTGAATTTGCACGGCCAATAGGTGCTATTTTGGGCTCAATCTCATTCTTAAATCCTCAAGTCTATCGAGAAATACACCTGTGCTCTAACAAAAAGTAATGAAAACGTGTTAGGATGCTTCGAAAGAAAAGTATTAAGGCGAATCTATAGAGCGGTGAATGGGAAATTAGTGTGGAGACAATGTAACTTCACAGAATATATCAGGAACCAAATATTATAAAATATTTTAAGGTAAGTTGTCTGAGCGGGGCTGGACGTGTAATTCGGATGGAACAAAATCATCCAGCTAGAAAAACGCTTCTTTATAGACCCATTCATTGGTCAGACAAGAAGGTGAATACCTAGAACAACGTTCCTTGATAACGTCGATGAAGGCATAATAAATATGATAATACGTGCTTGGCGGAGGAAGACTCACGCCAAAAAAAAACGACTCATCACCAAAGGACTTTCAAAGTTAATGTTTGGGAAGGAATTGTTTAATAATAATCTAATAGGCCCAGTATTTCTTTCCAAAAATTTAAATGATGATAATTATTTGCAGTTCTTGCCAAACGATTTACAAGAGTATTTGGAAGAAGTGAATATTGCAATAAGGCAAAATATGTGGTTTCTACAAGATGGCGCTCCACCGTATTATAGTAATGAAGTCCGGGAATACCTCTGCAGGCAGTATCCTGGTCGGTGGATTGGAAGGGGTCGTGACACACCTATTTCTTAGCCACGCAGAAATCCAGGTCTTAACACCATGGACTTTTGCTTTTGGGGGTTTATTAAAGAGAAAGTGTATTCTGTAACAATAGAGGACGAATAACAATTGAGAGAGAATAATTGAAGCTGTAAATCAATTTCGTCAGAAAAATATGATTTTTCAGCGCATTAGGTTTTCCTTATTAAAACGATACCGAATGTGTATTGAAGAAAATGGGGGTCATTTTAAAACATTTATTGTAATATCATATTTATAGAGGTTATAGACATTTTTTGTACTTCTTAATTCATTTAAGCCATTTATTTATTTGCACGTAATTTTTTAAATGTTAATGAAAAGAGCCGTTACTCGATAAAAACTATTTTTTGAAAAAAGTGATGAGGCAAAAATTTTTTTAAAAGTAATGTGTTAAACTAATGATGCCACAAAATTCATTTGATTTGAACGTACTCAAAAGTTTGGGGGGATTTAGGGCTGCACACCCCCTTAAAATTTTTCTGTGCGCTTAGATTTTTTTGTTTCTTTTTTATGAAAAATGCTTTCAGAACAAGAAAGTAACGTCATCACCAAACGATGAGCTGAATGGTTATGTTTAAACTGATATTTCTTGAGTTTTGTGAAATTTTTCTTGCAACATTAGAGGGTGATATGTACGAGAAATGATCAAACAATTCCAGAACAATTTTTTAAATACTCTATTTAAAAATAGTACAAATGATTCAGAATTATCTCTTCTTTTTTAAGTAGTCCCCTGGCAGCATATTCACTTATTCCAATGTAGTTTCCACTTCTAGAGTAAACTGTTTTTGTGAAATTCTGCTTACCTTATGCAATAGTTATTTAATATTTTCAATAGTGTCAAGTCTGTGCCCCTCAATGTTCTGGTTGAGTTTGAAAAAATCATCTGAGCTAGGTCTGACGAGTAGGAGGACTGAGAGATGCCGTTTCAAATAGGAAACGCGGATGAGCAACTTAATATGAATATTTTATTACAAAATGTCAAGTAGTTTAGGAGATAATGCAAAAAATTTTTATTTTGTAACTTCAAAGGGCTGTAACTTTTTTGTGTACACTTTTGTACTAAGGTAAGTTGGATTAAATCA